CGTTCGTGTTGATTTAGACTCCAATTTCATGTTAAAAGCACTCTTAATTAAATTCTGCAATTCATGATTCAACGAAAAAACAGTGAATTTAGTCTTCCTGGCCTCAAAAGGCATACCGGAGAGTTATTTGCTGTTATTTGAGCTACGTGAGCCTTGTCCAAAGCTAGCTCTAGGACAGAATTGTATCAAGATTATCAGTGACAAGTCAAATTCTGTGGCTATGTTTTTGCGAATCCAGACAGATATATATATCGTAATATCTCTTTTTTCTGTTCAAACCAAATTACGAGTAAAAAGACCGTTTAAGAAAGCACATCAAACCCCCCTGACCGTAAAATACCCAGCTAGCCACGCTACTTTTTGATGACTGATCCCTTTTATCAGCTAGTACACGATAGGCAAAGACTTTTAAAAGTACGGATCTTAGGCCCAGTTCAGAGGCCGAACTTTCCTTGAGCCGAACCAAATACATTGAATTAATGACATGAAAAGTTCGGCGTTTGAATCAATTAGAAACGGTTATTTCAATTTGGAACGGCCCAGCCGTTCTTCCGGCCTAACTCAGCCGGGAATTTCGGCTTTGGAACGGCTTTGATTCAGACGTCGAAATTTTCATGAGCCGAACCTAATGCATAAATTATTATAACGTATTTTAAAAGCAGTTTTCACTTTGCCTAAAAATCCCTGACATTTCGATGTGATTTGGTTAAAACTAAATAAAGTTCGCCGTCTAAATCAACAGGTGCAGTTTTGATGATTTGGCTCGATCCACATTCGAATTAAGTTCGGCTTATGAAAAGTTCGGCATCTGAACTAGCCCTTACAGAATTCAACGTTATCAGTTTGTTTTGTTTTGAAAACCTTAAATAATGGNCCGCAGAGGGACTCCAAATTTTTTTTTTTGTCCACTTTTTTTTTTTCTTAAACGTTATCAGTTTGTTTTGTTTTGAAAACCTTAAATAATGGACTTAAAAGAACTGTATAACTGAGCAAAGCTCTGTCCGTTTTTCAAGGCACATTTGCCAATGGAAGGTTAGCCTGTCAATAAAAACTGCATTTCATGTGCATATAGGTAGCGTCAAATTTGCTACCCAACTCAAGGAGTCCCCCTGTAGCCCAGTGGTTACATTTCCGCGCTTCGGTTTGGAAGGGCATGGCGTTGATCCCCCGGTAGCGGGACTGGTTTTTTGTTTTTTGTTTTGTTTTTTCTTTCTTTTTTTTATTTTTATTTTTTGGTGAACGTTATTTTTGTTTTGTTTTGAAAAGATTAAATAATGGACTTAATTGGGCTATAATGGACTTAATTACTTGATTCGGGATTTGCAACCAGCATTAAATGAAAATGTTGGCTGTGAGAAAGTTCTTCTTAGCTAGGCAATTTTGTTTTTTTTTTTTTCCAGCAGATTTTAAGTCTGTTTATTTCATTTATATCCATTGTCATTTCTTTCCTTATTAGGTATCGGTTTTCCTTATTAGGTACTAGTCTTCTCGTTTAAATTTTTTGTGATGGAGGAAACCGTTTTATACTTCTGATGATGTATGTAGAAGGATACGAGACGTCAAGTTTTCAAATCAAGGTTTTTACAACATGTGTTGTTTTGTTACGTTTTTGACCGCAGTTTGTTTTTTATTATTCTTGAAAGTAAGCGGTATTTAGAAAAACGAACCCCAAAACCTTTTAAAACTCATAAATACCTCTCTATAAACTCGAAACAAAGGTAAGTTAAATTTTGACCGTGGCCACGCTTTGATNCCCCCCCCCCACCTCTGCCGTCCTTTTGCGTAATTAAATAAACTGAACAGTCACGTAAAGCATTTTGGAGAAGTATGATCTTGATTAAACGCTAGGCACCGAATAACGCCAGGTCACTAAGGTAGAATTATAAATGGAGAGCCCGAAGTACTTATTCGAAGTGTAATTAACCCTAGGTGCATATGGTTGTCAAAATAATGAATTTTGAGATAAAGCTCTGCAGGATTCCAATCAATGCCGGGTATACCTGGCTAAATTAAAGTTTTAACCAATAAAATGCCGGAAGGTACGTTTTGATTAAAAAAGGTTCTAGTTCTTGACAGTGATGGCTGTGGCTGTAACTAATCGCATCCTATTTCTTTACATGTTCTTTTTTTCTTTTCACTGTTCTTTTTATTCTGCCGTTCGCATTTGTCACAGGAAAAGAAGAACATGACTGTGAATATTTCTTGGATGAAAGGTTGTTTTCACAAGCTGTTGAAAATAATAAAAAAATAATCAATAAAGTATAGCATACCGGTAAAAACGCTAAACATTCGCTGTGAGCGAAATCTTTTTTATCCTATTCTCCTTGTTGCAGAGACAGAAATAATCTTTCTTTCTTACCAAGTTCAATTCCGCGGAAACTTATTGCAGCTGCTTATTGATGTTGATTTTTGTATGGGTAATCTAATGTGAGGAGTGAAATAAGGAAATATTATCGCGCACGTTTTGTCATGATTCTGATAAATTCCCGAGGGCTTTCCGGAGCCGTTAGGCGAGATTTTGACAAAGTTGTCATTCGCTAGCGTACCGAGGATAAAGTCGACTCCTTGACCCCACCCTGGAAAGGAATAATTATGTTTGACGCGGTTCCTAAGCAACTTGGATACGTGAAGGAATATTGTCAAAAATACAACTTAAAAATCGCTTGTCGTTCTCTTCCTTCGCACACTATTTTGTCATTCAATTCAAATGAAGGATTTTATCTTGCTGCTAAGATAATAATTTATATAACCGCGGCAAACGGGATATAACCGCGACAACCGACTCAAACTATAAAAGAGTTGAACAGCAAACATCGAACATGGAGGAAAAACAAATGTTCGGCATAAACGGTATGGAACAAAATGATGCTGGAGCGTTAACACCAGAGCAACAGCAAAAGCTTAATGACTTTAAGGTAACCTTGTTGTCGTTCTTCGTTAGTGCGAAATAGGAGTGAACCGAGACGTATGTTAATAAGGCTACAATTTACACTACTGTAGTAGACCTAGCCTATCGATCAACATTGAGCCTAAGCTTAATAATTATTCTTTGACACCTTCTCAGATCAACACGAGATTTGCAAATGAAAAATACTTGAGAGGACACCCGGAGGTCTCCTGTCTTCTGACGGGGTTTTTAGGGTGAGTGCTTTTTAAAACTAATGGGGCGGTGGAAGTTAAGAAATTTTGATAATTTTTTAGTTTAACCTCATTCATATATAAACTCCCGGATAGACTGGGGAAAATCAGAGATGAAATAAGATCCTTGGGTCTCCTTATAACCCAGTTTAACTTCCTTACATTTCTTTGATAAACTTGTAAAAGCTCGAAGAAAATAAATGGCGCATCTACTTTCACCTGTGTGTAAAATAAGTCACAGTCACTCAACTAATACCCAACTATCAGACTCGGTATCAGGCTCGGCCCTTCCCTTGGCCGTTCTGTTTGAAAAGAGAGCTCTGTTTACTTGGGCTGATAGTTGGATTGCTGGTTGGGCTTTGCATGTATACAATAATATATGAAGACCCTAAAAATAGGGAGGCAAAGTGGCCTCGTGGTTAGTGTGCTCATCTCCGGATTGAGCGGCCTGGGTTTGAGCTTTGGCCATTGGGCAAGACACTTTACTCTCACAGTGCCTCTCTCCACTCAGGTGTATAAATGGGTAATGGCAAACTTAATGTTGGGAGTAGCCCTGCAATGGACTAGCATCCCATCCAGGGGGGAGTAGAAATACTCCTAGTCACTTCACACTACAGAAACTGGGATAAGCTCCAGCCTGATGGGCCACTTGTCTCGTATACAGACTACCTCCCCCTTTAAAAATAGATGTAGATGGACATTCCCATGGGGCTGAGTCATTTACGTATTATTGTTTCTGACTGAATTTGATTCACAGGAGTATCTTGCGAGAGAGACCAGAAAATGTTAGAGAATTTGCATCAAGTAAGTGTCTGGGCTTGTACAGGAATTACTGTAGTATCTTTTACAATCCTTGTAAGTGACAACACTGGCTGTATAACGAGGGTTACTATAGACCTTCTGCAATCCCAAGACTTCTAGTCCCCAAGAAGGTGTCACAAAATACATTTGATGGAAATACCGGTAAAATTTGGTTCACATTTCTGTGAGACAGGTGTTTTTTGAAAGACTATTTGCCAACCTTTAAAAAACTGTAACTGCTAACAACATTTTTTACGTATTGTTATTACTTTTATAGAATACTTTTCAGATCCAGAATTGAACAGCAAGGTGGAAGCACAAGTTGCAGAGTTGAACAGCAGAATCAAAAAGACAAACAGACCATAAAGTTAGAATAATTTTACAGAAAACCCATGCATGCCAGAGCCTATAAGATAAGTTTTTAAGACTCACTGATGATAAGAAGTTGATAATATAATTTGTAGCCTGGTTGTTTGCAACTCTTCGGTCTGCAACTCTCAGGACATGATAGAAAACAAATAATTTCTTAGTTTTCTATTCTACCTGTTATACTATAAACTAGCTTTATTTATTTATTTGTTTTTGCATTCAGTTGTAAATATTAAATAAATAGATGTGACTCAGGCTGTACATGTATGAATAAAAAAATGAACAGTATTCATTTAGTTTTGTTACCACTGTATCTGTTGTAAATTATGTAGACAATGTGAAGTTGCTGTTCTAATAGTAGGGGTCAATGTCTCCCCATAATCATGTTAAGGATGATGCTTCCGTTTGTTAGTAAACACGCGTTTGGCAAAGCTATTTTTTAAGGGCAAGTTCCTGTGGGAAACCCTAGTCTGTCCACAGACCCTGTATCTTGTCTACAGTATGTCGAGATCACAAGAAAAATGATATATAGATTTAGCCAAGCCTAAAAGCAGAGCTCCTGATTAAATAATTAACCATAAATGAAAAGAGGACATTTTTTCCTGGGATCAGAAACTCAAAATATGATCAATTGTGAGCATATCATTGTTCAGTGTGAGGTTTCAGTATTTTTTCTAGTTACATTTTAACAAACGATACCTAATGAGTGTACCCAAGATTGTAGATGTATCAAGAGACGATTGTGCAAGGAATATATCGGAAGGAAATTCAACAATGTGTCAGAGTTTAATTTGCGCCAAAATTGCATGTACTCCCTCCCTCTTCCCCAGAGTAATAACTTGGCTTGAGCCTGTGACCCAATCGAAAACCCAGTACCTGGTCAGCGGTCAACAAAAACACACAACCTCGATGAGCTCTTGGTCAGCAGATACCTTGTTTTGACAGCTGTCAATTAACTATAACATGGATGTCCAATATCAAAGATGTACCTATGGTAATGGTGCTACTCTCTTGTTTTTCAAGGTATGGGGCATTGGGGCTTGGCATATGGACGTACGTACGGACAGTTGCGTGACAACCAAAATTTCTGAGATTGATGGGTTACCAAATTTTGTAAGGTATGGGGCTCCGCTTGCGTGGATTTGGCATGCAGGAGCTCAGCTATTTAACCATTGAGGATATGAATGAGTCAAACTCTAAGGCAGGTGTGTGTGTGTGTGTGTGTGTGNGGTGTCCAGAGAAAGACAAAAGTAGACATTTTCTCCCATGCTTGAAGAAAAATAACAAGCAGAAAAAAAAACTCTCTGGACAAACTAGGGAAAGTTGGGGTCTTACATTTAAAGTTTTCATGATGTAGTTCAGACTAAAAGCTGGGTTTATGCATCAGTCAATTTCAGCAGTGCCCATGCCCCCTCCCCGGGCTAACTCCCAGGCATTAGCATTTTTTTTTTTAAAAATTGGGTAAATTCCCCTAGGTGGGAACACATAAGCTGTCCAAATGCCCTGGGGCGGGGACGAAGAAAGAGGGCAAATGCCCCGCCCCCGGGATCGTCGCTTTCCAACACTGCAGTTTTTTTTTATTAATCAGTGAATAAAACGTTCAACTGTTCAGTATTTTAATGCAACGGTAAGACTTCAAGGACAACAATACGTGAATTCGTACTGCTCTAAAACCTATTTCAAAGTCTTTTAACGACGAAAAAGTCAGGAAGCTTTTGGACAATTTATTATAATATTATAAAACCGCGCTGAAATTCCGGCGGACGTGCCCCCAGCCGCGAGCCATGATAAGTGCCTGTATTCGCAGGCTACTTTTTCTGTGAAGAATCAACGCATTTTAGTGATCATGCATTGTATTTTAAGCTCGCAAGATCTGTCTTGAAGATCGCACCATTTGAATTCGCAAACCTTAACTCCACTTTTAACTCCACTTTCATGAATTTAAAAAATGCTAGGCTAGTTTTGAATGCGAAATGCAGCGAAATAGTCGTGTTCACGTCAGTGATTGTTTGTGATGAACAAAATATAGTTCACCTTGTACGTCATACACCTTGTCGCTTATATTTATATGCTTACAAGTAATGAAGAAAAATCTAAAATTGAGAAAACATACCTTTAAAAACATCTACAAGTTTCTCTAGTCCCTGACGGACAAGCTATTGTTCGACAAACTCCTCGTCTTTATCCAGGGCACTCTCGAAAACACGTGTGTCAAATGCCCGGGGCTCGCCCCGGGGTACGCAAATGCCCAGCCCCCGGGCCGCGATAAAATTGTGAATGCCCCACCCCCGGGACTGATAACGTGAGCAAATGCCCCGCGGTTGCCCGGGAGGGGATGGGCACTGCTGGAATTGACTCTGTGTTAAATTTGTGATGTCACTTCACTGTCAGAGATCGATCTAAGCGTCACACTTATTATCAGTCATGCAATGCTGTATTTTGAAACTTTTGACAGTTCAGTGAAGTCATAGTCTCCTCCATTACTATTACTAAGCTAAATAGAAAGATCAACATGGAGACATTCAGGAAATTTTAAAAACAAAAGAAAAAATGGGGGAAACCAGGGGCTCCCGCAGAAACAAAATGCTCAGTAGTTCAAACCAGGCAAAGAATTGTTATCTTCACACCACTGACAGAGTTTAACAGAAAAATTGTCTGATGATCTGGAACAGAACTTATTTTAGACAAAAAAAAAAAAAACCGTGACCCCACCCCTATACTTCTACACCCCAAAATGGATGAGAGGTGAAGAGAGACTGGGTCTAATGAAATGACCGCTTACCCGTAACAACACGTGCTCGGTCGAAGATGTTCAGCATTCGTGAAAACCAGTGAGAACTCGTGAGCGTAGCGAATCGTTGGAACCTTTGTGGGCACGCACTACAACAAAAGCTTGTGAATTTTTGTTATTTATTGAGAAAAAAAATATGTGGGAGAACGTCCCTGATTTTCTGGAGCTGTTCAGGAACTTTCCTGTCTCCTTATCAGTCCTGTTTGTGGTGCCAGTTGTTCTTCTTAGTGGGCCCTCATCACCTGTCATGGCGGCGCACGAGTTTCCCGTGTTTAGAATGCAGCAATTTGACCTACACCAGACTCAAAGTGGTGAGTTATTCACCATAGAATGATAAAGTTATTTTTAGTGCATTTAATAACTAGTCATAGAGTGCCTGAATTTTGCTCAAAGACGCACTTCTCCTTTAATAGTACGTAAGTCTGAGTGAATGTCACATTATATGGCAGTAATTGCCATGAAATAAATAAACAATAGCCTCCATTTGGCTCGAAAATATGTTAGGATATTTGTCCGTGGACATCATCTGTTCTGAGAATCAAACATTTTTGCGAGAGTGTAGCTTGAGGAAAACTATGAGCTTTGAGGAACAGATAATGTCCAAGGACAAATATCCGAGCATATTTTCGCCCCAAATGGAGGCTATNTCATTAATGTCATAGGGTTGCCACCACCCACGCCCTTCCCTTTTTGGCTCTCATCTCTCATCTAGGGTCTCACTCATATTTATGTAATCAGTCACCTTGCGTGGCTATATAAACAATAGCATCCATTTGGCGCGAAAATATGTTAGGATATTTGTCCGCGGACATTATCTGTTTGGAGAAGCGAGCTTCGAGGAACAGATAATGTCCAAGGACAAATATCCGAGCATATTTTCGCCCCAAATGGAGGCTATTGTGTTTATTATTCTTCAAATCTTTTTCGCAACGCGCGCAGTTTTTAAAATTGGGGAATATTCTCGGATATTGCCCAGTTTTAGCTGGGTAATATTCGGTCACGTGACGCATTTAGACCAATCGCGCGCGAGCGAAAATATTTGATGGATTATTATCTCGGAGATTCCCCAGTTTTAGTTGGGAATATTCGGTCACTTACGTGTTTAGACCAATCGCACGCGAGCGAAAATATTTGATGGATTATAATTATGAATATCTGCCTTCTTTCGTTGGGATATTTTCCTCTTTATTTGTTAGGTTGCCTTGCTACAATCGCCCAATTGTATGGGATTGTACCACTTGTTTTGAGAAGTTCCTATTTTAGGAACATAGTTAATTAATGAGCGCGGCTCCCTGAAGAGGTTCCTTTCTTTGAGAGGCTTCTACTTGGACATTTATGTAGGGATATCCTTAGAAATAATAAAGTATTTTATTTTGAAACAGAAAATAAGCTTACTTTGAAACAGAAAATAAGATTCTGCTGTTATTGTTTTGTACAAAGTGACTGGGTTTATATTTATCAGCTTGTGCAAAGACCAAGACCCAGAATATTTGAAGTTCCGGAACTTTCCTCATTGGTACAAGAAAATATTGAGAAGCATTTTTGACCATTAGAAATGAAGGAAGCCATGTTGCCGTCTTCGAGTGGAGAGAGTGAGATATCAGACCCTATTGAAGAAAGAGACGACTAGAGCTCCCAATTTTTATTTACCAAACACTTGTGTAGCATCCACTTGTTTGTATTAAGCTGCCATGTAGGCCGCATGCTCGGTAAAGTTTGAAATCAAGGATGATTTAAGATATGAATTTTGCCCTGGCCGTTTTTACACTAGAGACGCAAAAACCGCTTGGGACGGACTTGGGCGAACATTATTGAAGTCCGTCTAGATCTGGTTATGCGTTTCGTAGTTCGTTTAGTATAAAGACTGACATAAGTAAGATATTCGTCTAGACGAGCTATCTTCTGTGGGCATGAGGTGCGTCGTTCAAGGTGAACTTGAAGAGATAGTTCGCCTAGTCAATATCTTTGCTTAGAAACCCTTCATTTGTCCGGGAGAGCAATCTTTTAGATTCTGACAGGAACTTTTTTTCGAGCAACTTTTCCGTAATTTACCAGAGCAATTTAGATGGGCCTAACCGCTGTAAGTCTTTGAGTGAGTGAGTGTTGTGATTTAATCTCATCCTTACATATTTGGTGTTCATTCAGCTTTCAAATTGAAACGAACCTTGGCTTAGAAATGTTTGCTTCTGCTAGCTTAATTATGAATATCATTTGACTATATTTGCAGGATGGAGGAAAAATGACGCATAAGGAAAACCAGCTCAACAAAGACTGCTATTTTATAGACGGATGGAATCTCCCTGCAGATTGTCAACTCAAACTGGAGCAGATTGTGAAAGAGGATGGTATTGATCTTCCAGAATCTCTTGGGCAGTACCGAATAAAGCCAGCCAAGTCGTATGATGCACAGGTATGAGAAAAATGTCTCTAATAAGTTGTGTAACTAGAAAGGGAAAGAATCTCTGGAAAGGTCTGCAAATGTTGGTGACGGGGAAATCATGAAAAGTTAACTAATTCAAAAGATGAGACGGAATTCTTTCCACTTCCCTCCATCCACTTCCTTTCACTTTGAGTAGACTAAAAAAAAAACTAATCTATAATAATAATAATAATAATAATAATAATAATAATAATAATAATAA